ACACGCACACGCACACGCACACGCACACGCACACGCACACGCAATCGAGCGCTATTCGACCTTTAATTGAACTTTTACAAGAGTTTTGCTCTCATGATTGCTGATGGATGGATGCATGGACTTGCGATATTCCAAGCCCTATCTCCCCACGTGAGGTTAGATTTAATAGGGGATAGTGCAATAAAAAAAAGCCGCAACACCTTGCTAATTTCATTGTTAACTATCTTTATTACATAAAAACGTCTTCTTAATAATCAAAACAAGTTAGGGACATTTCGATTTTTAGCAATTGATCTTCATTATCTATATTATTATTATTTACATACACGCTCCGCATGCACGATCCAAACCACGCTTCTCAAATCGAGTTCCTAGTTTAGTTTTGTACACGAGCCCAGCGAATAAAAACACTCACTGCCTCGTTCACTCTCACTGCCACGCTCACTCTCTCTCGCTACTGCGCATGTCATTACGTGGTTTTGTGACGTCATATCACTGCTGCATTTCGAACTCGATCACCTGAAAGTAGACAGACGACAGATGCTTAAACGCTCGCGCCGCCCTCTAGCGACGCGAGTTAACGTGAAACACAAAGGCTTGTTAGTAACAGCTGCTCTGTCAAACCGGACGAAACACTCCTTAGCACCCATGTTATTCTCTCTTGCCAGCGATAATCGAATCCCACCACCAGCGTGATGAGTGAACGTACACTAAAAGATCAACTGTTCTAACCTGCCCTGCATTGTTCTGAACTATCAGACCTCATTGAACCCCCACTAGCATGATCAAAGAACGTACACTGAAAGGCAAAGTATTCCAACCTGCCCTGCATTGTTCTCACCTGTCAGGCCTTATTGAACCCCCACTAGCATGAAAAGTGAACATAATAAACGCCGCATTGTTCTCACCTGTCCTACATTGTTCTTACCAGTCCTACATTGTTCTCATCTGCCCTACATAGTTCTCACCTGTCCTGCATTGTTCTCACTTGTCCTGCATTGTTCTCACTTGTCCTGCATTGTTCTCACCTGTCCTGCATTGTTCTCACATGTCCTATATTGTTCTCACCTGTCCTGCATTGTTCTCACCTGTCCTGCATTGTTGTAACTTGTCCTGCATTGTTCTTACCTGCCCTGCATTGTTCTCACCTGTCCTGCATTGTTCTCACCTATCCTACATTGTTCTCACCTGTCCTGCATTGATCTCACCTGTCCTGCATTGTTGTAACTTGTCCTGCATTGTTCTTACCTGCCCTTCATTGTTCTCGCATGTCCTGCATTGTTCTTACATATCCTACATTGTTCTTACAAAGCCTACATTGTTCTCACCTGTCCTGCATTGTTCTCACAT